CTCTTTCTAGCTTGCCTGCTCAAGAAAGCCCATTACCACTCACTCATCTGCGACCCCAATGGAACTTCCTGTCCATCGACCTCTCCACTTTCTCCTTGTCTTTCCCCATTTCTCTCCTCTCTAGCTTGGATTCCATGACCCAACATTTCAACTGTTCTCTTGCAAATACTCTAAACTCTCTTGGTGCTGGTACCTCTGCTTTTCTGCCCCCATTTTTTTTTATTGTGGTAAAATACGCAAAGCATAAAATTCACCATCTTAACTGTTCTTAAGTGTGTCATCAATGGCACTAAGTACATTCATGATTTTGCACAACTGTTACCATCATCCATCACCAGAACGCTTTCATCTTGCAGAACTGAATCACTGTCCCCATTAAACACTTGCTCCCTCACCCCTCTCCCTCAGCCCCTGGCAACCACTGTTCTACTTCCTGTCTCTATGATTTTGAGCACACTAAATACTTCATATATGTGGAATCATATAGTACGTGTCTTTTTGAGACTGGCTTATTTCCCTTAGCATAATGTCCCTCAAGGTTCAGCCATATTGTAGCATGTGTCAGAATTTCCTTCCTTTTCAAGACTGAGTAACAGACCATTGTGTGAATATACCACACTTTGCTTCTCCATTTACCTGTCAGTGGACACTTGGATTGCTTCCACGTGTTGGCTAAAATTTCTTTTTTTCTTTTACATTTTATTGATATTCCCATTTTGTTCGTGCATCATTTTCTCGACTTTCTCCTTGCCTTCCTTTAGTTTTTGAGCATCTTTAAGACAGTTGTTTTAAATCTTCATCTAGTAGGTCCACCATCTGCTCTTTGTCTGGGACAGTTTCTGTTGTTTATTTTTTTCTTTTGAATGGGCCATACTTTCCTGTTTCTTTGTATTTCTTGTGATTTAAAAAAAATGTTTAAAACTGGACATTTTCATCTGACAATGTGGTAACTGGGAAATCAGTCTCCTCCTTCCTAAGAGTTTGCTGATTTTCTTGTTTTGCTGCTGCTGCTTCTTATTTTTTATTCTTGTAGGCTGTCTCCTGAGGACCAGCCTCAGGTGTAAACTTAAGGTCTTCTCAGGTTTTTTCTGAGCCTGTACCTTTCCCTGGGTATGCGTGGTGATTTTCTAATTTTCCTTGCATATACAGTTGCTTTTGAATAGCCTAGTCTCTAATGTCCAGCTCCTAAAAGGAGACAAAAAGAAAAATTAAGGGAGTAGGGGAAAGGCACTGGCCCTTTAAATGCTCTGGAAGTCACTTGGGGGGGGGGAGGGGCGGGGGGGGGGTTTCCCACAGTGGCTGCTTGTCAATTTGTCTGCCCCTCTGTGATCAGAGGAAGCAATTATCAATCAGAGCACAGATCCCCAATATTTGGAGGACCGAGTCCTTATTGCCCACCCTGGTTCCTGAAAGCTATGCAAGCTGCTCCAGGAACACAAGCATGGCTGCTTGCCATGGGGTGGGGGCGGGGGATGAGTGGCTGCTACCATGCTAGGAGCTGAAATGCACTGGATGTAACCACAATTTACTGTCCAGGCCTTTCCCTGGAAGTGGCAAGCCTCCAACAGACTCCAGAGTTCCAAGAGAGTTACACTGGACAGATTCTGCCAATGCAATTGTTGTCTAGGTAGGGAGATAAATACCTGGTGCTTCCTACTTTGCCATCTTTCCAGAATCCTCTGTATCTTTGTTTATCAATTACACTTCCCTACCTGGCAAAATTCCGAGTTTGGACCCACTCAGTTGCTCTTCTACTTGCTTATAATCAGGCAGTTGAATCCCATTAGAGAAAACCATTTTACTGGATAGAATGCTGACTACCATAAAAATTGATGATCACCAAGCACAACTGGAACCTACATAATTCTAACCAGTCTTTCTCAAAAAAGCTGTATCCAATTCATCCTTATCTCTTTTTTTCCTTTTAAAAAATATGAAATATTTTAAACACTCTGCAGAACGTAAGCTCTTATGAGGCTGGAGAGTTTTGCCTACTCTGTCTAGTGCTCTGTCCCTACCTCTTAAAACAGTGTCTGGCACATGCTAGGTCCTCATTTGGAATGAATGGACACAGAAAAGTACACAGATTAAACTAGAAAACACACTTATACCCCCATGCGTTATCAAATTTTGACATAATACCATATTTGCTCCACATTTTTCTCTTAAGAAATTAAATATTACTGATAAAGTGGAAGCCCCGTATGTCCCCTTCCTGGATCCTATTCACCTCTCTCCATCCCCAATGGTAGTTGCTGTCAATAATTTGGTGTTTATCTTTCCTATGTGAGTTTTGGTACTTCACGACATATTTAGCGATCTCCATAATAATATACAGTATTGTTCTGAAGAATTATAAGCTTTATATAAATGGCATCATAATCTACACATCGTTCTACAACTTCTTTTCCTTCTACATTATGTTTTTAAGATTAATCCATGTTGATACCTGTGGCTGCAGTTGACTCATTTTAAGTAGTATAGTGTTTAGTTTTGATTATTTGTCTCACAATTTATCCATTCTCCTATTGATGATCATTCAAGTGATTTCCACATTTTTACCATTTCTAGCACAGCTACAGTGAACATTCCTGGGCAAGTGTGCTTGTGTGACAATCTGCAAGAGTCCCTCAGGAAGGATCTGCGTTTAGAGCCGGAATGCTGAGACACAGGTAAACAGAGTTTCACCTCAGCTAGACACTGTCAAATTATGCTCCAAATATTTTGTACAAATTAACATCCTCAACAGAAACGTGTGAGTTCTCCTTGCGCCACAACCAAGCCGCCATTTGCCATTATCAGGCTTTAAAGATTTTTCTAATCTCATGATGCGAAATGGCAAATTATTTTTTACTTTGCATTTCTCTGATTACTAGTAAAAGTTGAACAATTTTTCATGTTTATTAGTCATTAGGCAATCCTCTTCTATAAACTGCCATCTCATATAACTTTGCCTATTTTTTAAGCAAAGACTGTTTTTTTAAGAGCAGTTTAAGGTTCACAGTAAAATTGAGGGAAACGTACATAACATCTCACATACTCCCCTCCTCCACACACTCGTTATCAGCATCCCCCATCAAAGTGGTGCCTTTCTTACAGCTGATGAACCTACACTGGCACGTCATTATCACCCAGCGTCCATAGTTTATGCTATGGTTCTGTCTTAGTGTTGTATGTTTTATGGGTTTGGACAAATGTATGATGACATATATCCATCGTTATGGTGTCATACAGAGCATTTTCACTGCTCTAAAAATCTCTCTGCTCCGCCTATTCCTCCCTCCCTCCCCCCTAGGGACTTTCTTATTTTTTAGGAAGCTATTTCTCTTTCTCTCTTTAATTTGTAGGCACTCATTAGAAAATCTAGCACCTAATCCTTGTCAGCTACATGCATTGTAAAAATCTTCTTTCAGTCTGTGTTTTATCTTGTAGTATGTTTTTTATAAAGGAATTTTACATTTTAAAGGAGTCAAATTCATAAATTCTCTCTTTAATTGCTTTTGTATACTGTTTGAGAACTTTCTCTCCTCTCTCGTGTCTTAAAAGTATTCCTTTTTGCTATCTTCTAATTGTTTAAAATGCTGCTCAACACACTGAATTTTTAATCCTGCCTGGGAATGAGGTAAAAATTATATTTTATCTTTTTCTATATGGATAACTATTTTTTTCCACCACCATTTTATTACCCCATTGATCAAAAATGCAACTATTGACAAATATTAAATTTCCCTGTATGCCTGGAACTGAGTTCTGTATTATATTCCACTGGGTACCTCATCTATCTCTGTGCCAAAATTACATTGTATTAATTACTGTAATTACACAACAAGGATTGATCTCTTCCCCACCTTGTTCTTTAAAGGTTTTATGGCTATTTTTGTCCTCTTCTCTACATATGAATATTAAGCACATTTGTCAAGTTCTATATAAAACTCTGATAATATTTAAAATGGAAGTGGATTTTAAACTGAATTTATAAATTAATTTGGAAAGAATTACCATCTATATTATAGTGACACATTATTTTTATTTAAGACTACTCCATTTATTTTAGACTTCCATTACTTCAATAATACTTTATTTTCTTTTTAACTATCTAGTACATGCTGGATTCATCCTTAGGTAAATTATAGTTTTTGTTGTCATTGCAAAAGTATGTTTTTTGTATAGCTTTTCTAATAGATTACTAGGAACGTTATTGAGTATGCTGAGCTGTTATCCAGAACCTGGACCAACTTTCAAATCAGTCTTTGCATTTTATATTGGTTCATTATTAGATAAAATATTTTATCTGAGGTTTTATATGTATATAAACAGGCTTCATATCTTTATCTCCAATTCTCGTACCTCCTATGTTCGTATTTGTCTACTGGATTGTCTAGAACCTCTAGCACATTGTTGAATAGAAATGGTGATATGGAATATCTTTATCTTGTCCCTAACTTTAATGAGAATCCTTCTAAAGTCTCATCAATAAGCATGATTACTGTAGGTTTTGAACATCATGTAAAGAAACTTTCCTTCTATTCCTAGTTTGCTAATATTTTTAAATATCATGATGAATGTTGAATTTTTTTATCAAATGCTTTTCTGAGATAATCATAAAGCTTTTCTTAATCTCTTAATGTGGTATATTATATCAAAAGATTTCAGAATCCTTTCTGAAACCATCCTTCCATTCCTGAGATGAACCCAACTTGAACATAAACATTGCTGCATTTGATTTGCTGCTATATTATAATCTTTTGCTGCTGTGCACATAAACGAAATGGGCTTTCTTTTCTTATATTTTCCCTGATCTCAAGATTACACTAGGTTTTAAATGAGCCATGTGGCTTTTCTTCTTTTCCAAATCCTCAAAATAATGTGTATAAGTTGGAGATTATCTGTACCTTGAAGATATAATACTCACCTGTAAAATCATCAGCACTTGGTGTCTGGTGGGGAAGAGAGGTGTGATTACTGATTTAATCTCTTCAATGACTATTAGACTATTCTTGTTTAATTTTTCATTGATGTTTTTATTTTTTAAAAGAAATTATTTTTTTACCTAAGTGTTTAAATTTGGGGCATAAAAATGTCCAATAATTTGTTCATAGTGTCAGGGCATAAAAATTTTCCCTTCTTCCCTTTTAGATTCTTTGGCTGGTCTAATAATCAAATTGACATAAGATAGATTAACAGGAGAAAAAACAAATTTAATTTTGTATGTTTAGGAGCCCCAAAGATATGGGACTCAAGTTCAAGTCAAGCAGTTGAGCCTGATATGCCCTCCTAAGCTAAGGAATGGGATAGGGGCCTGGGGTTACAAAGAGAAGGAGAGTAATTCACAGGACAACAAGAAGAGCAGATGTTTTGTAATTAGATGTTTGTCTTGCCATACAGATCAGTCTTTCAGATAAAAAGTTATCGCTGGTAATAGCTTTCTTTCTGGGCCAGGCCCCCTATCTAAATTTTTTAGGTAGTTAAGGGAGAGGGAAAAGGTTATCTTGAGACTGCTGGGTCTTGTCTTCAGCTCAAAATGATCCAGCTCAAAATGATGCCACAGTGGCACATTTTGGAGTCACATATTCTGCTCCCCAAGTCTTGCCTTTGAAACTTCCCCCAAAAGTTTCACAGTCCAGAAGTTAAGTTGGTAGATTGCTCCATTTTATCGAACCAGTCTCTTGGTCTTGACAATAGCTCAGTTCAGTTAAACAGCTGTCTCATTTCAGGAGGCAGTGATGCATATGGGCTCCCAACGTAGGTCTATGGTGTAAGCACTCAGGTATTTAATAAGAGGCAGTTCTATGGAAACAAAAGAAAAACAATGATTAATGGTTGGGGCAGATTATAATCCCAGTTTCTGAGTTCTGGAGGTGGCTAGTCGAGAAGATTTCGAGATGTCTGGCTCAAAGCATCTTCAGATGGAGTGAGGGCAGGTGGTGGCAATCTGATAGATTTTCCTGGTTTGCAGGAAAGTCTCTGGTAATCTTTCTGAGTGGCTCACGCAGCAACAGGCATGAAGATTGTTCATACGTGAGCTGCTGTAGTGGTTTCTCTCGAGTTTATATCAAGTTGTCCAACTTTAGCTTGCATGGCTTTAGAAAAAGGAAAGTTTTAGTTCTCAGTGATTTTAAGTCAGAAGGATAGGAATTGGAAACGTTAGTTTGCAGAGTTGTAGCCAAATTTTGGAGGAAAGTAGAAGAATTAAGGATCTAGTCCCATTTACAGGTAAAAAATAAAGTCTCAAAAACAATCAACAACACTAGAATGTGATATCCACAATGGTATATTACTGAAATATAATTTTTCTCTCTACAATCACCCCCATTTTTATCAAAAATAATCACAATAAGACCAATTTGTTCACAAATTAAGTCTTTTTTCAATAAACTTGACCTGATTAATTATAAAGGGCAGCAAGAATAGTGATCGACAATATAGAATCTCTTAATCTGCCTTACTGAAACATTTCATGGAATCTGCCTTACTGAAACAATTCAAGGAATCTCAGATTGAACTTTTAAAAGCCTCTCGAGGCTATGAAGTCAAGCCAAGATCTCACCATCAGACTCTGACTGAAATATCTATATATTTGGATGAATTCATCTATTCTTGAGGTCCCCAAAATAGCCTGAGTTTCCTGAGCCTGCCAGAAAGTGACCTACCCTATTCACCTGGTAAGGCTGCTGGGAACCCTGTAGGCAAGGTACCAGGTTGATACTTCAAAGGGGCTTTATTAGCTCCATAAATTCAACCTCTTAGTTCTTTAAAGCTGTCTGGTCACATCTGAGCCTATGTACATCTTTCTCAAATAGGACATTCCAGTCAAAGCCCTGTAATACACTCAATGTTTCCAATTGCATCCCATTAAAAGGAAAACAGATCCTTATTGAACTTATGCAAATAACTCTATTGCCATGAAAATAATAATACTCATTAAGAGTTTCCAAAATCTGGAGGTACGAGGCAGGGAGAAAAAGATAAATGTTTCAATTCTGCTTACAAAGGTATAATTTACTAATTGCTGTAAGCCATAGTTAGCTTAAGAGGAAAAGTTTCCTTATATCTGGAAAACAAAACATTAAAGAACCAGCAATGTTTCAAACAAAAAGTCATTAAAAAATTATAATTTTTTATTATATATTATTATATATTATATATATAATATATTTTATATTTTTTATATAATATATAAATATATATTTATAATAGATTTATATATTATATATTACATATTTTATTTATATTATATATATATATTATATATATTATATAACTGAGGAGGATTCCTCAGTTCATTCAGTCCCGTGTAATTAGTCTTTGTTCTGCTTGAATCTAGTTTTTCCCTTAGTTCTGGAAATTCTTATCCACTTCAGTTTTATGATCTTAATGTTATCAGCAAAGTCTTTTCCATGAATCTCTCTGAAGAAGAGACACTTTTTCAAGAGTATCAGAGTAAAACAATAACTCTCTGTAAATGACAAAGTCTTAAAATGCCCATTGTTAAAGATCTGATGAGAGTTCATTATAATGGAATTGACAAGGAAATTTGGTTATTTCTATGACACACAACATTTTAAAATAATTAGAATTACATTATTCTAATGTAGAATAATGATAATATTATACCAGGACATACTGGATTTCTAGACATTTCATACAATTTCTGGAACACTTATACTAATAACATATATCCACACAAATATAATCTAAAAAGGCTTAGCATCACTCGTTTGACAATGCTTTCCACGTAATTTAACACATCAAATATGCCTAATTAGTGCAAGAGCTCTCTTGTTATAAAGAGAGAGAACAAATCTTTTGAGATGTTTCAAGGGCCCTCTGAAAAATCCCAAAGTTAGTTTGAGGTTAAAAAAAACCACAACTTCATTTAGAATTTGATTTGGGGAAGTCTGTCAAAAATATCAAAAGGTTTGGACACAACTAAAGTGAGTCACAGGTCATGATGAAACAATACTTAATTATATATTTAACCAAAGTGGAAAAAGATTTTAAAGGAAGATACAAAAGATGATATAGTTGTAAGCAAAAATTAGCTTTTTTAATATTAAGAAGACTCAGTATTGGAGCCTGCACCGTGGCCGAGTTGTTAAGTTCGCGCGCTCTGCTGCAGGTGGCCCAGTGTTTTGTTGGTTCATATCCTGGGCGCAGACATGGCACTGCTCATCAAACCACACTGAGGCAGCGTCCCACATGCCACAACTAGAAGGACCCACAATGAAGAATATACAACTATGTACTGGGGGGCTTTGGGGAGAAAAAGGAAAAAAATAATTTAAAAAATCTTAAAAAAAAAAAAAAAGAAACCCAGTGCTTAAAAAAAAAAAAGAAGACTCAGTATTCCTGGGCTGGCCCCATGGCTGAGTGGTTAGGGTCACGCGCTCCGCTTTGGTGGCGCAGGGTTTCGCTGGTTCAGATCCTGGGTGTGGACAGGGCATGACTTATCAAGCCATGCTGAGGCAGCGTCCCTCATGCCACAACTAGAAGGACCCACAACTAAAAATATACAACTATGTACTGGGGGACTTTGGGAGAAAAAGGAAATATAAAATCTTTTTTTCAAAAAAAGAGGACTCAGTATTCCTAAGTGATCAAAGATCTGATGATAAAGAAAACATGAAGCACAGGGAATTATTTTGATGAAACACAAAATCTTTGCTTTCTAGTCAAATTACTTAAAAAGTAAAGAAAAACCTTTCACAGTCTCAGCAGCAAACCCATAGTCCAATAAAACTTTGTCCTTTTATCAGATGAAAGAAAATCAAGTTTCAGTTTTACATCATTACACTATTAATATTTAAGCTTATTTTTAAAACCTTCATAATAATTCAATTTTTGTCCAATCTGACTACACAAGGTAAGATTCTCTCTCTTTCTCTCCTCCTACTTTTTGTTTAATTTGTCCTTTATTCTCCCCTTTCCCATTTTGAAATAACTAGTTTTACTTTAGGACAAATTTACTTTCTTTTCCCTTAAAAAATGCATCTTCATATCTCATACCTTTTCTTATCCCAAACCACATTGTACTTTCCTTGCATACAGAGTTGTTTTTCTTATTACTTCTCATAGTGTTAATCAAATATATTAATTAGAACTCTTAACCCTTAGAAACCTTAGTTTCTAGTGAAAACTAAGAAGTAAACCATTGTGAACTGTGTTTTACTTTAGCATTATGTGGGCTTGGCAAATTTATAAATACTTTTTATGATTTCTAGAAACATATGCTTTCTCAATAGTAAATTTTTCAATGTGGCATGAGCCATGCTTACTAACAGATGAAAATTTATTTGGTTCTTCTATAATAAGTAGCCAAGATTGGACAAATCTATGTTCAGCAATTCATGTTTCAGTATTTTACCTTATTTGGAAATGATCTGGATAGTCAATGAATTTAATTTAACTCATCATTTAATGTAACTTAGCAAAACTTACCAAAATTATTTGGGGAGACTATTGAAAAGGTTCATCTAGAAACTTTTGATCCTACCTACACCTATTTAATTTACTTGTCCTTAAAAATTAGACTACCCAAAAAACTTTATGATTTATTGGACAAAGTCAGCCATCACCCTAAGTGATTTTTCTGGATGACAAATTTTGTAACAGAGATAACAAACTTATTTGATTATTAAACCCAGGTAGAATAAAAGTTATATTTAATGCTGATAACTCTAAAGACATGCCTTAAACTAGCTTTTATTTACTAAATATTAATCTTAGATCGTGTGAACTTGAAAAACACTTGGGCTAGTTTCAATTATATTTCTGAGAGTTTAATATAGGTAAGTGCTTAAAATTTTTAAGCCAATTAAATAGAGCTCTTTTATAAACTAATTTTGGCAATACCACCTGGAGTAAAAATGTATCACACATCTACAACATACATATATAGACACACGTAAACATACAGACACAGACAGACTTTATAGCTACTATTTTTAAAATGGAATTACTTCCCTAAAGTTGACATTTTAAAGAGATCACCTAGATAAGGGTTCCTGGAGGGATCAAGTAGAACATTTATATCTCAAAGGCACAGAGAAAGAATGCAAATTCCTGCAGAAGGATTTTGGTTTCCCAAGGCCAATATTTACAAGTGTTTTGAGATAAATAGGGGAGGTTTTGGAATTGGTAAAAGGAGTAAAGCAGATTTTGGACTGCCTTTAGAGCTGCATTTCTAGTTTTGCAAAGATTTGTAAGATAAGGACAGTTGCTCTCAATTCCTCAAAGAGTTGGGCTGTAGTCTAAATGATATCATAGTTTGATCCAGCCATAAATCCTTTTACAAGGGCTTTAGACGGTTTTTCTTCCTCTCTGGGTTATGGTTTTATTTTACCTTATGGGAGAAGGCCTGAACAAATTTTCTATCATGCTCTGCAGTTTTCAGCAAGGACAAACAGTAAATATTTCTGGAATCATTGAACAACTCCCCTGGGGTGTAAGAGGGGTCCTCAAGGAGGGTGCAGAGGATACCACCCTCCCAAGATCCGGAGGAATGGCTTAGAGGCCTGGAACTTCAAAAGGAAGGAGAATAACTCACAGGACAATAAGAAGAACATGTGTTTGGTAACTAGACGTTTGCTCTGCCGTACAGATAGGTTTTTCAGATAAAAAGTTCTCTCTGGTAATAGCTTTCTTTCTGGGCCAGGCCCCCTATCTAAATTTTTTTAAGTGTCAAAGGAGAGGTAAAAATTTTTCTTGAGTCCACTGGGTCTTGATCGCCTTCAGCTCAAAATGATTCACATGCCAAAGTGGCACATTTTGGAGTCATATATTTTGTT